CAGGACATGAAGAATCCAAACATCGTCACATTGTACAAGAACAAAGGCGACAGGGGCGACTGCAATAACTACTGTGGTATCTCTCTTCTCAGCATTGTAGGGAAGCTGCTTGCCTGTGTTGTGCTGAAGAGACTCCAGGTGCTTGCAGACAGAGTCTATTCAGAATCACAGTGTGCATTTTGAGCTAATAGATCAACCATTGACATGATATTTTCCCTCAGACAGTTGCAGGAGAAATATAGGGAACAACAGCCACTCTTTGTGGCCTTCATAGATCTCACAAGGCCTTTGATTTGGTTAGCAGGGATGGCTTTTTAAAATACTTCCCAAGATTTGATGTCCACCTCGACTCCTTAACATCATCAGGTCCTTTCATGAGGAAATGAAGGGCACTGTAGTTTTGGATGGCTCAACATCAGATCCCTTTGACATCCAAAGCGGAGTGAAACAGGGCTGTGTCCTCGCACTGACCCTGTTTGGGATCTTTTTTGCTGTCATACTGAAGCACGCCTTTGGGACTGCAACAGAAGGCGTCTGTCTCCGGACTAGATCAGATGGAAAGCTCTTTAATCTCTCTAGATTGACAGCAAAGACCAAATGCCTGCGGGACTTCCTCTTTGCCTATGCTACAGCTATTGTTGCCCATTCTGCTGAAGAACTCCAACAACTTATGAATCGCTTTAGCAAGGCCTGCCAAGATTTTGGACTAACAATCAGCCTGAAGAAAACACACATCATGGGCCAGGGCATGGACTCACCTCCCTCTATTACCATCTCTAAACAATAATTGGAGGTTATTCATTATTTCGTGTACCTTGGCTCCACAATCTCTGACACACACTCTCCAGATGTCGAGCTGAATAAACACATTGGCAAAGCAGCTACCATCACAAAGAGACTATGGCTTAATAAGAAGTTGACAGCATATACCAAGATCCAGGTCTATAGAGAGGGCTAGAAAAATTTTAGAATGTCTCACCAGTCAGTCAAAAATTTCAGCAGTCAGCATGACCGGACTATAGCCTTGCAATTTATTGGGATTGGAAATCACTGATTTATACCCTCAGACTTGGGTTGCTTTATTACCTGCGTGCCTGTGGGGTCAATTTGTATTTTGAATGCCTTTCTTTTGAATGTCTCCAGCAAAAATAAAACTGAAAGCAAAAGCGCCCAGCCTCTTAAGGAGCCACGGTTCCATTCTACCCTAAGATGTGTCCTCGTTCGTTTGAAATTGGGAGCAGGGAATCTCCATATTCTCCAGCATGACTACTCTACATTCTCCTGCAGAGCTATATCTCTATGTACCACTCGAACTCTCTTCTCACGAGAAGAGAGCCGTTTTCCTTTTGCAATGGGAGTGGGGAGGGGAGGACTGCAGGATTAGAGAGAGACAGGCGGAGGGGAAGGAGACAGGCAGGAAGGGAGCTGTGACTTGTTAAGCAACATTTTTCGAGTGCATTTTTCAAGCCCTTTCTATAGAGCCTATGTCCTGAGTACATGCCTACACTGCAGAGATTTCTGGACCCTTTGTGCACGGCAGGAGAAGATGTTGAACACATTCCATAGACATCGTCTCAAACACATTTTTGGTATCACCTGGCTGGACAAAGTTCCAAACATAGTAGTCCTAGAACAAGCTGGAATGTTTAGCATGTATACATTACTGAAACGGCGATGTCTATGTTGGCTTGGGCATGTCGTGAGAATGGCTGATGGTCAGATTCCAAAAGATTTCCTGTATGGAGAAGTAGTGCAGGGAAAGCGCCTCAGCGGGAGACCACAGCTGCGATACAAGGATATTTGTAAGTGGATCTGTAGGCCTTAGGAATGGACCTCAACAGATGGGAAACCTTGACATGTGAGCATTCTGCCTGGAGGCAGGCGGTGCAGCATGGCCTCTCCCATTTTGAAGATGCATTTGTTCAGCAGGCCAAGAAAAGAGGCAGTCCCAAAACCAGCAAAATCAGGGAGCTGGACGGGGGACAGATTGCATTTGTCTTCAGTGTGAAAGGGATTGTCACTTTCAAATTGGCCTTCTCAGCCACACTAGACACTGTTCCAAGACCTCTATTGAGAACATGTTACCATAGTCTCTTGAGACTGAAGGATGCCATTGCAAGTACTGAGGTGTAGAAAAATACAGTATATGGAATATCAGAATATAGAAGTCTTTGTCTACAGATAAGGAAAAATCATTATAAGCTAATTTAAAAATGGTATTTAACTCCAATTAAGTTGAATCAAATTGATGATAAGTTATCTAAGATGTGATGGAGAGGCTGTCAGAAAGTTGGTGCTTATTTTCATATGTGGTGACATTGTGAAAATATAGCAAAGTTTTGGCGTTTAATTTTGAAGAAAATAAAATAAAGTTAAAGAGATACATCTTGAAATTGCATTTTTGTTGACATTTGATAAGGAACAATGGAAATAGATTACAAAGGAATTAATAATGAATTTATTAACAGTAATATGATTAATAGTAAAGCACTGGAAAGTAAAACATGGTATTCAATTAAATTAATGGTATAAAGAAATTTTAAACATTGTAATTAATGATAAATTGATATGTAATCTTAAAGTTAAAAAAGATTTGTTAAATGAGAATATCTTTATAGCTATTTGGGGATAATTTAATAGATAGATTATGTACTAATAAAGGGGAAAAGTTACGCATCGTCTCAAAAATCAGTGCAGTTCTGGATGAGTAAGGGACTCTATACATGGTAGAAAATTGACTATATTGATGGTCATGATGGTGGTGGAGAGCACATTATGTTATAGAATGACAGAATAAGTTGGAAGGGGCCTATAAGGCCATCAAGTCCAACTTCCAGCTCAATGCAGGAATCTAAATCAAAGCAAATTTGACAATTAGTTGTCCAATTTTCTTTTGAATGCCTCCAGCACTGGAGCACTCACTACTTCCCAAGATAATTGGTTCCACTGTCATACTGCCTTAATAGTTAGGATGATTTTCCTGATATTCAGTGGAAATCTGGCTTCCTATTGCTTAAGTTCATTATTACATGTCCTACACTGTAGGGTGGTAGAGAACAGATTCTGCCCCTCCTCTGACTACTTTTCAAGTATTTGAAAAATGCCATCATATCTCCTCTCAGTCTTTTTTTCCCTCAAGGCTAAACATGCCCAGCTCTTTTGGTCTTTCCTCATAGGATTTGGTTTCCAGTACCCTGATCCTTTTTGCTCTCCTCTGAATTTGTTCCAGTTTCTTGGCATATTTCTTTAAGTGCAGTGTCCAGAACTGGACATATTACTCAAGATGAGGCCTAACCAGTGCTGAATAGAAGGAAACTACTACCTCATGAGATATGACTATACTTCTGTTAATGCAGCCTAAAATATCATTTGCCTTTTTTTCAGCCACATTGCACTGTTGGTTCATATTCAGCTTTTGATCTACAACAATTCCAAGATTCTTCTCACTCATAGTATTAACTGAGCCAAGTATCCTCCATCTTGTAAATGTGCATTCCACCCGATGTAGAACTTTGCACTTATCCCTGTTAAATTTCAATCTGTTTTTTTTTCAGTCCAGTGCTCAAGCCTATCAAGATCTTTATGAATTTTGTTCCTGTTTTCTGAGGTATTAGCTATTTCACCCTATTTTATATAATCTACTGATCTGATCAATATTCCCTGCACATCCTCATCCAAGTCATTAATAAAAATGTTGAAGAGCACTGGAACCAGGACTGAACTTTGTGGTAACCCACTTCTTACCTTCTCCCTGTTTGAGAAGGAGCCATGGATAAGCACTCTCTAAATATGATTCTGTAACCAATTGTGAATCCACCCAGCAGTTGTTCCAGAACACACCTAGTTAGCTTGCTAATCAAGATATCATGATGCACTTTGTCAAAGGCTTTCCTGAAATCAAGATATGTTACATCTATAGCATTCCCACTGTCTACCAGGCAGGTTACCCAATCAAAAAATGAGACCAGGTTATCAGGCAGGATTTGTTCTTGTCAAATCCTTAAAGGCTTCTAGTTATTACTACATTGTTTTCAAAGTGGTTGCAAAGCTACTGCTTTATAATCTGCTCCAAAATTTTTCGTGGGATTGATGTGAGGCTGACTAGTCTGTAGTTCCCAGATTCCTCCCTTTTTGCTCTTTTTGAAGATAGGGACAATCTTAGCTCTCCTCAAGTCATCTTGTACTTCATCCATCCTACATGATTTCAAGAAAATAATAGTGGCTTTGTTATGTCTTCTGTCATTTCCTTCAAATATCCTTGGATGCCGTTAATCTAGGATTTAAACTCATTTAAAGTACTAAGGTACTTCTTTCTGATTTGTTTATCAATCTCAAGCAGTAATCCTTTCCTATCCCTTTGTACTTCACATTTGCCTGGAGAAGCTAGACTGTCTTTTGGAAGAAGATCAAGCTGAAGTAGGAACTGAGCACTTCTGCCCTTTCTACATCTGTTTTTATTTTCCCATCCCCATTAAATAGTTGAGCCACTGTTTCTTTTCTCTGTCATTTGCTATGTATGTACCTGAAGAATGTTTTTTTCATTGCTTTTAGCGTCTCTTGCTAACCTCAGTTTATTCTCAGCTTTATTCTCTTAATGCTGTTCCTGCAATTCTTTGCTGCTTGTCTGTACCTTTCCTTTGTAGTCTGGCCTTCCTTCCATTTTTCAACTCCTTTCTGAGCTTTTTGTGAAGCTATATTGTTTTTTATTTGCTGTCTTTTATCTTTTTTTCTTTTTTGAATTGTTTGTAGTTGTGCCTCTAGAATTTCCTTTTTTAGGAACTCCCAACCCTCTTGGACTCCTTTTCCTCTTATGTTTGTTACGTAGGTTACATTGTTAGTGAATAACTTTTATATACTGTATAGTTTTGTTTGTTACATATTTGGTTGGTTTTGTTGTTGTTTTGTATTGTAATTTTTAAATAAAAAGAAGAAAAGAAAAAAATGTAGTGCAATCTGCCATCCTGAAGAGATTTTCATACTGAAGAGATATTCTAAGGAAGAAAGTCTGATGTAATATGTTGTGGATTCTGAGCCTGCTTTCTTTCCTATTCATCTCCCTGGCAGGTATCTGTGTGGCTGACCCATATGAAATAACAGTAATGACGAAATTCTTTATTGATCTGCGGGTGCCTTACTCGGTAGTGAGAAATGAGCAGGTAGAGATTCGGGCTGTTCTCTACAACTATGCAGCGCAGGATATCAGGGTAAGCCTTGAGATTCTGATTGGGGTCCATAATTGGAATTGAGGAAATATTGAAATGCTAGGGATTTCACTGGATTCTGGGAAACCATTATCTGAGAGCACATAGGGACATGTCTTAGAAACATTCAGTTTTATGTAATGTTGTTATAGTATGCGTGATTAATCATATATGTCAATTATATGTATTTTGACAGCACTTTTCCAGATATTGTGTTATCCTCATGTCACTTATGACAAGGGACATGCCTTTCCGTTTGTCTTTTGTCTTATGAAATATATTTTCAAAGGGTGGCCTATGAATTGGTTGCTCGAGGGGACCAGATGCTATTTTCCTTTATTTTTCTGGCATGATACTGCAAGGAAATAATACACAACACAATCAAAAATTAAGTCACATCAGATAGTTTCTTTTAAAAGAAAGATCCTCATGTCTACATAGATATATTCAACTATTGCCACAGCTTTCTTCTAAGCTCTTACAAGACATTCAGGAGTGTATTGTGTGTCTTTGTTCTTCCTTTTGGCAACAAAAATAAGACTGCCCCCCCCTTCTTCCTGCCCCATAGAAAGGACCTCCATTCACCCTTGATTACAGTTTTTCACATTGGCAAGACAGTGTTCCTGATCACCTCCTTTGCACTTTTCTCCTCAGGTGCGGGTGGAGCTGATGCATAACCCTGCTTTCTGCAGCGCTTCCTCTGCCAAGCAACGCTACCGACAAGAGTTTAGAATTGGAAGACAGTCGTCCCGGGCGGTGTCATTTGTGATTGTCCCACTGGAATTAGGGATCCACGACATGGAGGTCAAAGCAGCTGTCTGGGGTGTGATGGTGTCTGATGGTGTGAAGAAGAAGCTGAAGGTTGTGGTATGTAACAAGGCAGGCCCTTTGAGGAAACGTGAAAAATGGAGGCTGCATCCAGACCTAGACAACAATCCTGTTAATGAGTGCATATAAGCTAAACCTTCTTCAGCTTCAGGCATGAATACATTACTGAAGCACATTGCATCTGTGCCAAAAAGTGGACCCAATGTCATTCTGAGTTGCTCTTTTCTGTCTCCTTTTTTTAATATATATACACACTATATATATATATACACTATATATAGTGTGTATATATATATAGTGTGTATATATATAGTGTGTGTATATATATATATATACACATACACATACACACTATATATACACACTATATATACACACTATACACACTATATATATAGTGTGTGTGTGTATATATATAGTGTATATATATACACTGTATATATAATCTATCTATCTATCTATCTATCTATCTATCTATCTATCTATCTATCTATCTATCTATCTATCTATCTATCTATCTATCTATCTATCTATCTATCTATCTATCTATCTATCTATCTATCTATCTATCTATCTATCTATCTATCTATCTATCTATCTATCTATCTATCTATCTATCTATCTATCTATCTATCTATCTATCTATCTATCTATCTAGTGTATATATATATAGTGTGTATATATAGTGTGTATATATAGTGTGTGTATATATATATAGTGTGTATATATATAGTGTGTGTATATATATAGTGAAATGGATAATTCTTGTACTTTATTATTTTACCAGCCTGAAGGAATTCAGAAGAAGCTTACGACTGTCATTGAACTGGATCCAGCTACACAAGGAAATGGTAAGTGACATTTTTTTCTTTTTTCTTCTGTGCTTCCTTTTTCTGCTTCCTGAGGAACAGCCATGTGGGTCCGTTGCAGCAAAAGCAGCACAGAATTCTATAGTACCTTAAAGACTAGCAAGTTTTATTGGGCATAAGCTTTTATGCACAGCGGGGCTCTTCTCCAGATAAGATCTGTCTCATGTGCCTGTATCTCTCTTGCAAGGTGTGTACTTGCTGGTGAGTATTCTTTTTGGGGTGGTGTTGGCTGTCTGTACAGCCAGAAGAGATAACAAGAAAATGCTGCTGGTTGTAAACTACATTTTCCAGTCAAAACCAATCAAATGGATCACTGGCAGTCATTCTGAAGAGTGATAGTTCCCTGGCTTCTTTAGGGTGGGGAGGCCTATACTTGGATGTGGACTCAAAAACTTTGTCCCCTGTGTGCAGGAAACACTATTAAAGGACCTAATAATGTAGTCCACATCATCCAATATCAGGGGCATGTACATCTGCTCATCTTTATAGGTGGTGTATGCCATCTTTTGCCAGTAAACTCCAGTAATCTCCTACAACATTTTACAAAGAACAGGTGGACCAAATCTCTATGCAGAACTAAAAAGAGACACAGAGCCCGCATTATGAGCAGTAATACTCAAAAATAGTGGGAGAACATTTGTGATTCTCTGGAGAAACTGGCTGAAATCCTGTTGACACATCTGCACAAAAATGTTAAATTTTGGAAATGAAATTTTGGAAGTGAACTCTCTGCATACATTATCTGCTGTGTCACTCACTGTGCCACCGACACAGTCTATGGAGATTTCTTAATTTATGACATTTTGCCTCTAAAAGTTACATCATTTGTATACCTGTGGAACAAGATTTCAGCCACTCTTTCTTACCTCGGGGTTGCCACCCCTGAATTTTCTTCCTTCATTTATTCATATCAGAGTGTTGCACAAATTAAAATTATAAATTTATTTGAAATATAAAATTCAAAGAAATTTAAAATGTTAAAATGATTAGACTGCTTTTGACTAGAAGTGGGCTACTTCAATAGCATTATCTTGGCCATTTACTAGATCGTTTGTATACATGGTGGAGCATAAACTACATGTTCATAAGTGCTGCATTGACTGAATTTCTCCAGACCACAGAAAATTTGTCCTGCATTCAAGTAGATCTGTTTTACTTGATTATTTTCCTATTTTGTTTCAAAATCTATTAAGTGACTTCCAGATTGTCCAACCAGAATATTTTTTCTGGTGGGAGACACTATTCAGAGTCCATCTGTTTGGCAAGGTGTGTTATTTTTTACTCTCCATAGAGTTAGTCTAGCGTCTTGTTTAGTATTTATAGCTTGAGATGTGTAAAGAAAACTTTTCCGTGAACAATATAACTTCAAAGACAGTTTCCAAAGGGAAGCTGCTGAACAATAATATATCAAGAGGTTCAAAACTTTTTTTCTCTTATCTAATAAAGATAAGGCTTTCTTGTTGGCATGGTAGTGTTATGTGCTTCGAAATCACTTCTGATTTATGAAGATCCTAAAAGGGTTTTCAAGATATGTGAGATATTTCAGGATTGACTGGACATTGACTGGCTGAACTATTTGTTTGTTTGTTTGTTTGTTTGTTTATTTATTGGCTTACAGCATTTAAAAATACAATAAAAAGGCAAAATAAAAGGGCGAAATAATTAAAAAGCAATTAAAATATATATTCTAAAAATTGCCATCAGACCTACAGCTGATATTATTTCAGTTAAAAGCCATTTGGAACAGGAAGGTTTTGACCTGGCGCTGAAATGTCATCAGCGTCAGCGCCAGACAAAGCTCAGTCGGGAGGGCATTCTGTAGTCTGGGGGCAGCTGCCGTAAAGGCCCTTTCTCTACAAGCCCTCCCTCTTATCTCCTTAAGTATAAAGTGGTGCCTCACTTTACTTTACGATTGCCCTGCATTATGATGAATTCGCTTAACGACAATCTTTTTGTGATCGCAAAACAATGGTCTGAATGGGGAAATTTCGCTTTGCGATGATTGGTTCCCTGCTTCGGGAACCAATTCTTCGCAAAACAACATTTTTTGAACAGCTGATCGGTGGTTTCGAAATGGCCACCGGGTGATTAAAATGGCTCCCCGCTGTGTTTAGGTATGGATTCCTCACTATACAGGCAGCGAAAATGGCCACCGTATGGAGGATCTTCGCTGGATGGTGATTTTTACCCCATTGGAATGCATTGCATGGGTTTCAATGCGTTTCAATGGGGTTTTTATTTTCGCTTTACGATGTTTTCGCTTAATGGCGATTTTCCTGGAACGGATTATCGTCATTAAGCGAGGCACCACTGTACATAACTGGACTACTTACAATATGTTAGAACCATTTCATTTTCCAGGTAGCCACATCCTAAGCACATATCACACACTAGGACTTATTTGTGTATACTTACTAGAGTAGCAGCAGTACTTTTATAAGGAATTGTTTTTATGAGAAAATTCCCCATTCTTTCTCCAGATCAATTTTTTTTACCATCTTCTAAACAACTTGAATAGAGTTAGCAGCAACATGAAAGTTATAGTGTTGTATTACAAATTCTTCTAAGACAAAGCAATTCTAAATGGCTTTAATGTGGAAGTAATTGGTACTTCTATTCCCTTTTCCTATCCTTTTTTTCCAATGTGTAGCCTGCATAATTAAATTACAAACTGCCCAGAGAGCACATTGAGTGGTATGGGGTGATATATATGCAGCACACTTTACTTTGCTTTGCTTTTTTCCCCCGCAGGTACAATGCAGAGAGAGGAAGTCAAAGCCAATGATTTAAGTGATATGGTTCCTGGCACAGAGCCTGAGACCAAAATTAGTGTCCAAGGCAAGTGTTTTTTTCTTTAAAGTACAGAACCTGATGACTGTGGGTGTCAGCAGGATCAAGGGACACCTACTGATCAACTGGAACTGCAACCTTTCCTGCAATTCAGTGTATTGCTATCCATTCAACCCCCTCTAATCCCACTGAGTGCAAGGGTGGACAAAACCACTGCCATAGGTACAGTGACTCCAGAGTTTGAGAAAAATACTTTTTGGAAATTTGTCTGTGTGTGTGTGCCCTCAAGTCAGTTCTAACTTGTGGTGACAATTTTCAGGATTTTCTAGGTATTCAAAAGTAGCGTACAATTCCCTTCTTCTGTGGTGGGCCTGGGACTGTGTAACTTGCTACACTGGCTGGTTTGTCTAGGATGGACAGTGGGGAAATTGAACTTCCAACCTCTGGCTCTACAGCTTGGTTACATGTGGACAAAAAAACTAGCTTTGAATTGGGTTTAGCGTGTTTCAGATCCAGTTTTTAAAATCCTGACTACACAATGCAAAGTGAAGTGCGAAAAAAAAAATTCTGCCTGGGAGGTATGTTTTTAGATTGGAAAGCATGGTATTTTACTTAGCCACGAGAGGGTTGTTTATTTTAAATCACTTGTGAAATTGATTTATTTTGAATCATTTTGGATATGTGAATTTCTCTGACAGCGTAAATTGTGTCAAGTAATGGATGCCAGGATCACAGGTTTTGGGTTGCACGGAAACCTTCCAGTCTGATCTGAAAAGAGAACCAGCAAAGAGAGAAATTTTGAGTGGAGGAAGGCACGTCCTCCTTCACAAGCCTAGAAGCTACTAATCTTGTCAATTTCTCTGGTCAGTTTCTCTTTGCCACTCACTGGTGTGATTTCCCTTTTGGCAACCCTGGCTGCCCCTCCATTGCTCCCTCTCTTTCTCCACCCCATGTTTGTGTGTGTGTGTGTGTCTGTCTCTGTGTGCATGTTTTGAGCTGCAGGGGAAACTTAGCAGTTCTATCTGTTTTAATTTTTTTCTATTGCTCACACTGAGCAAGCGCTATGCCAGAATGCAAGATTTTTTTAAAAAAAAAATAACACCACAGCAGCAGTGGCTAGTAGCTGTGAGAGGCAGCCAGTGCAAGAGCAGGCAGGCATAGGACAAAGCCTCAAATTCAATGATTCTAAAAGCTCATGCAGCCTTCTCTATAAATATACAACATAGTTTGAACTGACTTCAAAAATGAAGTCGCATCTCATAAAAATTTTCAGCAATTTTGTTCATTTTTTGAGGGTTTATGGTTTTGTTTCCTTTCTCAGTTATATACAGAAAAGGAAATTGCAACTATGGACCAAATAAAATTAACAAAACAACAAGAAGAAATGTTAAATCAACAAATTTCAATCAGTGAGATTACTGAAGCAATTACCAAGCAGAAAAATGGAAAATCTCCAAACAATGGATTTCCAGCAATTTTATAAAACATTTGAAGAAGTTCCGATTATGCCATTTAAAAAACCAGAGATACAACAAAAGAAGGTAATCCCTGAAACATGAAAAGAAGTGATAATTACAGTGGTTCCCAAAGAAGGAATGGATTCAGCGGAAATCCAAAATTATAGACCAATTTTATTACTGAATATATATATATGATATATGCCACAATATTAGCAATAAGAATTTTAAAAAGGTACTGGTAAATGTAATCCATCAAGACCAAGCAGGTGTTTTACCAAAAAGGCAATTAAAATCTAATATGAGAAAGGTGGTAAAACATTTAGAGTATTATGAAGCAGATCCGGATAAACAAATGGCAATATTTTTATAGATGCCGAAAAAGCCTTTGACAATATTGACTGGAGCTTTATGATCACACAGCTAGAAAAAATGGAAATAGACGACTGACTTATTGATTCAATTAAAGCTCTCTGTATAAGAGACACCCCTTCATGGATTGCTGCCTTGTTGTGGCAAAGGGGCTTGAATAATTCAGAGAAGAGAAGACTCCTTGGAAAAGATCCTGATGTTGGGAAAGTGTGAAGGCAAGAGGAGAAAGGGGCGACAGAGATGGCTGGACAGTGTCATTGAAGCAACCAACATGAATTTGATACAACTCCGAGAGGCAGTGGAAGACAGGAGGGCCTTGCATGCTCTGGTCCATGGGGTCATGAAGAGTTGGACACAACTTAATGACTAAACAACAACATATTAGAGACAAAGAGCAAAAATAAAAATAAATGGTGAACTGTTAGGACAGATTTAAATTAAAAAAGGGACGAGGCAAGGTTTTCCACTCTCATCATTACTGTTTATATTGGTGATGGAAACATTACTGAACCCAGAAAGGAAAACTGATAAGATCAAGGGGCTTAAAATAAGAGGAGAAGAATTTAAAATTCAAGCATTTGCAGATGATCTTTTGGTGATTGTAGAAGAACCAATGGAAGTAATAAAGGATTAAGACATGATGACAGGATTGAAGATAAACAACCTTAAAAACAAAAATATTGACAAAAATACGCAAAGAGAGAAAACTGAGAAACTGCTAGAATTAAGAAACTTTCAAGAAAAAAGTAAAATATCTAGGAATTCTACTAACAAAAAAGACAAGCACTCTAGTGAAAGACAACTACTTGAAAGTGATTGAAGAAATTTAAAAAGACCTAGTAAAATGGAATAGTCTGCAGCTTTCATTGATGGGAAGAATAGCACCAATTAAAATGAATATTTTACTTAAAATGATCTTTCTCTTCCAGACAATCCCAGTAATTTTGAAAGAGAACATACTTGAACTCAATCAAGACATATCTAAATTTATATGGCATGGAAAAAAGCCAAGAATCAAAGTAAAGGCTCTACAAGATACAAAAATGAGAGGAGGGATGGGACTACTGGACCTTTAAATGCTTTGTTATAATAAATAAAATAAAATAAATAAAATAAACTAGTTAGATATAAAAGCTTAATAAAGAAAGATGGGACATTAAAGAGAAAAGAAGAACTTGCAACACAAAGCATAGAGATGGACTGGTGGAGACATTCTCAACTCAACTCAAGATCTGCAAAAGACAAGAAAGAGGGATTTTATCTACATCCAACAGCTTTTGATAGAATACTTTTGGAAACTAAAGAAAGACATATTAAAACAATATAAAACTTTTTACTAGAGTATGAAGCACAAGAGGAGACGGTTAAAGACTGTATGATAAAGTGGGCTCAAAATACAGGGCATAATATCACTATAGAAAAATGGGGATCAATATGGTAATGTAATATAAAACTTACTAAATCAACAAACTTTAAAGAAAATGTTTATAAAATGGTTGTTGTGGGTTTTTCGGGCTTCTTGGCCGTGTTCTGAAGGTGGTTCTTCCTAACGTTTCGCCAGTCTCTGTG